CCAACGGCATGAACATAAAATATAAAGACATGCCTGGCGTTTTTGGGCTTATGAGGCTCCTTTATGTGTGTCATCAGCATCCGAAGTCAAGGTCCAGACTTAACAACTATGACGTTTCCAACATTGTTATGGAGATATAAAAAATATAGTCCTCGGCGTTCCGTAATAACTTCGGATAATTGACCAAAGATGTCCGTGGTATTGCTGTGTTAGTTGGAAGCACTGCTTCGCGGCCGAATGGCAGTGCAGCACAAACCTCGACCTAGAAGCACACCTCGCATAGACAGATAACGTCCACATTTCACTTTAAAACGCTGACGCGGTAAGCCTTGATTTGCCGATGTGAGGACTCATATTCTACCCAGCTGCCACAACCCTGGGCGTGAGGACGTCGTCACAGCTAAAATTCGGGGTTGAGGGATTTGCACAGCGCTGGGAGTTAACCGGTGGATATGCTTTCGGTCTACTGGTAGTGGACTTAACCTTTACATAGATTTCAATCCCGCAACACAGTGGTGGCAACTCTGTTAGTTTTTTCCGTCATCTGCCTCTGAAACTTTGCAATGTAGGAGTTTTGCCAAGCTTTAAGCCTTGCACTTTGCTACCGGTTATTGCTGCTCTGCAATTGATCGGTCGGAAAACGAAAGCTTGTTTGTCTTGCAAGTGACCTCACCAAAACCATCACCACTGTCCGCAACTCAAGGACGCGTTGGACAGCCAATAGGTAGCCCAAAGGGCGGGCCCCTAACTTCCGACGTTTCCGTCTTCCTGGGGCCTCCTTGACCCGAACTGTATGCCATTACAGATAACAATACAAATGTCACTAGTTTGTTCACAAAAGAGAGTAGGCGTCACGGTTGTTCAACCTGAACTTGGACTGTACATTCGAAACAACTAGAAGATTGAGTGGCAATAAAGGATGATGGGTAAAATACGTGGCCATCTGGTCAAGAATGGGAATGGGACGCGTGAACTGAAGGCACCAGAAAGGAATATCTAGAATTCTAGTGCCTAACAATTAACATCCGCTGCTCGACGAAAGGGGCTTCTAATTCCTCTATTTAGTTTAATAAAGTGCGAGTAAAGCAAAAAATCTAGTGCGCTTCAGAGTCTACTAAAATAAATCTGTTAGTACACGTAAATAAAAATTTGCAAACAAGATAAGAAAAAGTAAGTCCCAACGGCTTGATCGTAATTATCGCTAAGGTGCCAGCAACAAGGCCCTGTAGAATTTGCAAACAAGACCCTGCCACAAATTGCACCCAAAATTGCCCACTGCATGCGCTTCTCAAGTATTATTGGCTGTTTCGGATACAACTTCAAGCACCTCAGCCGGTCATTTAGGCAAAAGTCAAGGCGCATAATCATCTGAGAATCAAAAACTAGTATATCTTGTTGTTTTCTTATTTCAGTTTATCTGAATGTGAGGCCCAAAATAATACTCTGGGATTTCGAACGGAGAAGAAAGGAGGTTGAGACAGCGGAGCCAAAACCCTAGGCGGAGAAATAAGCCAGAGCGAAGATGCGAAATGTTGAATAATGCTGCTAAAATAAGAACTGTTGTATTTTGAAAATGGGAGTAAAGGCGGGACAGGGACGCTTAGAAGTAAAGTCCTGAGTATGCAAGGACTCATCAGAACGGCCAAGAGCATGTCGCTCTTGCTTGCTTCAGTACACTTTGGCGTTTTTGAGTGGGATGGACAGTCTCTAGACGCTCTGCCTGAAATTTGGGCAGAAAGGTATGCAACTGAGGATCAGTGCGACTCCAAAATGACTTCCGCTGCATTAGTAATGATCGCAGGCTTATGGTGAAAGGGGGAACTGGAAGGCGGCACTCGCAGTCATGTAAGATAATACGAGCAGTGATACAAGCCCGAGTAAGTGGGAAAAAAATACGAGCATTTATTTAATATAACGGCGTATCGTGCCTATTTGACTTGTACTTTTCAAATAAATGTGCATCCAGTCTACACTTAGGTCTCTCTGCTGTTTCTGTTATTATTGCGCCCTTGGGAAGTCCGTGCCAGTCACTGTTTGCCCACAACAAAAAGTAACGTTAACAAAAATTGAAGCAAAAAATGATCCCTCTAGGTCCGAGAGAGTTCCTTTGTAGGTGTGTTGTAGTTCCTGTATGTGTCATTAATTATAAGTGGCGAAGATCGCCTTCTTGACACAAATGCTCAGTCATGGTGGCTGGCGACAACCACTAACCGAACTAAGTATTGACGGTGCCGACATAAATTTGCCTAAAGTTAGAAAGCATCTGGATGTATAATACTCTAAGAGTCTCAATCTTTTAGAACACTGCGCCCTGATAGTCTCCAAAGCACGCAGAAAGACCGAGTCTATCCTACAAAATTTTAAAACTAACAATATCAGAATGCGCCTTTATAGTATTTACGTTAGACCTGGCTTGGAATACTGTTCCACCTCTTAGTCGTTTGTATGCTGCAGAGCAGAAAAAAAGGAATCCCTCCGACATTTTGTCACCAAGAGAGCCTTAATATCGGAACGCCGTTACTTGGTCTACCAAAAACGCTGCATGTTTATTGACCTTCACCCCTTGTGGTTTCGTTGACTACTAAAAGGGACTGTTTTTACGGTTTAAGCTTTCTAACCATCGTACTTTCGACCTGCTTACTACTTTAAAACATCTTGGACACCCCGAACGTAATAGTCACCAGGAAGTCTTTTTGCTCCTTCCTCTGGTACGTACCGTTAAATATCGTCGTTCCTTTCCTGTGAACGCAGTTGCAATTTGG